ACACCGTACCTCTTTTGGCCTTGTTTACCCACAAAGCAACTACTACTTGCTCGCATGATGGTTCTAACTACTCCGTAGCATCTATCGTGTATCTATCGGCAGTCGACACACGCAAGCTCCGGTCAAACTCGTGAAGTGACCTGCCGCCGGGCAGCGACTAGCGACCGAACAAGATCGACGACGGCCCGGCCTGGGGTGTGCTGTGTTGTTTAGTATACAGTATTTATAACAAAAACAACGCAAACGTGACGGGAAAATAGCTAGGCCTGTCATGATCTCGGCGGATCGCGCACGAGCGGATCGGTCCGAGGACACAGAATCTGAACAGGATCGACAATCCAGCACACGTGTGCGTATGATTCGCATTGATCGCGACACGGCGCGGCCGGCCGGCATACCCCAAGCTAGCGCATGCACCCGGCGCCGCGCCAGCACGGACGCGACTAGCAGGCGCCGCCGACCAACGACCTGCCCCCCGCGCGCGCCGGTCCGGCTCCAATTAAACCCGTAGCCGTGGTTTTTACTATTTGCGGGGCTGCAACGAGAAGCCGTAGCGTGGTGCCGCAATTCGTGACCGCGCCGCGCGAACGACGCATCAGCATCACCCGCGGCTGCCTGCCTGCCGTCGCGACAAGACGCTCGATCCGCCGTGCGAATTAAATCCACGCTCGCCGACACACGCCCACGCCGGCGCGTGGAAAAATAAGAAAGCTCCCCGTCCCGAGCGAGTACCGTCGTCCGCTCGCGCGCGTGGCTGCGCCGCCCCAACCGCACCGCGCGACCGGTGTCACGCGCCGCATTTGCTCCTGCTGGGCCGCGTACGTACGGGCCCCGGCGCTCTGCCGCCGCCGCCAGCCCGGTCGAGGGTGACCGATCACACACGCCTCTCGCTGGATTTTCACCTGGGCTGCCGCCTGCCGACACGGTTCAGTGGGGGACGGGGCGTGTAGCTGCTGCGCGCCATGCATGCGCGGCTCGCCTTTCACGCCTACTACAGGCTACTGGCTACAGTAGCGCGGTCGAGGCTTGCCGCCGGGCTGCCGGGTGACTGGTGAGGACACAGTACGAGAGGAGTGGAGAGAGACGCTCGGGAGCGCACGCGCGCACCGGGCACTAGGCGAGCCGCCCGAGAGGCCCGGCCGGGACGGTGGTGTGGTGCACTGGTGCGTCTGGCTGCCAACGAACAGTATTTTTCTCTTACAACAAATTAAATTAGCCAATAGTACTTTCAGTCATGGCTTATCAGCCAAGCAGACAATTGTTTAATCATCGGTTGAGATTAGAAAAATATCATATCACCAGCAGGCTAAAGAGTAAAGATGATGATGCTCCACATTATCATTACGCTCTAACTTTGGCCATTTCTACAGATTGCTTGAGTAGTACTGTCCCGTCGATCTATTCTCTAATCGCTACTATTTTTTCTTTTCACGCAAAAGTCGTCTGCAAATATTCATGACAGTGTTGTGCGTAAGAGGAAAAATTCCCTATTGTTTACTCCTGCTAGCAGCTGCGTGTGACTAGCTAGTACTAACAGCTTACACGGCGGCAGCGTTCTGCTGACGAGCTAACAAATGCAAATCGGTTATCTAGGCAACTACGGCACGGCGCAATTCATTGAAAGTCACGGATGTTTCTTAATAGTAGTAGCAGATTTTACAGGTGACCCACACATATGTCACGAATCTCCTGCTGATCTGATGCCGGTCGTTACATGAGCGATGACATTTGACAGCAACCGATCGATCGCCACTTTTTCAACGTGGCGCATCAGCAACGATATGGCATAGCTGCGGCACAAGATCACACGCCATATTATAGATGATGAGCCCAGCTTGTGTTTATAGTACTATACGTACATCAATTTACCTGAAGACTTGCAACAGCAACCTGTTAATTCTGAGTTCTGACCAAACTACTGGTGCTCTCTGAATTATACCGACCTGCAGCTTGTCAGCTGCAGTGTGCGCATAGTTGCCGATGCATGCTTTTCCCAGAAACTCACAAGCATCGAACATCAGCGACTGTCATGCATCCACGAACGAACTAGCAGGCCGCATCCACACCAGAACAACAATGCAAGAGCAGTGTGACGCCGGCAAGCAACGCTGAAACTGAAACGCTGGTGGTGGTTTGATGTCGACGGGCATGCACAAGCCCATGCATGCATCTGGCCAGATCGCCAGACGAGACGACTGACCAGTCACCAGTGGCCGCGCGCGCGCGCAGAGGAATAGAGGATAATTGATCTGACGATGAGGGGGAATGCGAATGGATACCTTGCTTGCGGACGGCGAGCTCGCAAAGGCAAGCTAAAGCGCAAAGCAAACAAAATTTGAATCCGGAAAGGGGAAGGCGCCGGGAAAGACGGACAGGGAGAGATGCTTCGGCTCTGGTATCTTTGTCTCTTCTTTGCTCCCACATGCCTTTCGAACCCCCAAAAACATGCTTTTGAACAACCCCAAGAAAAAAAAAATCTCACCCATACCACCCAGTGCCATACATACATACCCCTACATCAACTAGGAATCCGTTTTCGCCGTACTCTACGAAACTACTCGTACTAGGATATCTCAGTGTTGTTTTGGCTTATTATCTTTGCATGCTTAAACTATATACAGAGGCTACGGCTTACAACAATTCTACAAAATTACTGCGTTCTCCAAAGGAGTCTTTATGTATAGATTTTGTCTTACGTTTTCTATGAATAATTTAAGACACTACAGTGTGATCGTCTTGAGTTTATTCAACCATTTTGTTGTTACTTTAGACATCGGAGAGGATCCCCCAACAGCACTAGTCATTGAACGAGTAACTTTAACCACTGCACTGCACTGAATTGTGTTCTTAAACCCCAACTAGTTGCACCATGTTTGGCTACTTTTAACAGCACTAGCTAGTCAGTTACGTAGTGCATTATTATTAGAAAATAAAAAGAAATGAATTCAAAGGAGTAGTAGGAAAGAGATGCAGTGCACAGTGCAGGAATACGTAGCCATCTTTGGAGCAGCGTCTTTGTCAACAGCCGCGATCGGCGCCCTGGCCGATCGGGTCAAGACGAACCGGCAACGCATGGGCCCAGGGCCCCAATTGGAGTGAGCTTTCGGTTTTCTCGTCTCTCTGGCCTTTCCTCACGGGGACCGAAATATTCCACGTGGCCCGGGATGGTGTCGTCATGGCTACGCATCACCACACTCCATGCCACGTCAGTGTGTCACTGTAGCTCTTTCAGCTGGCGCTTCTCAAAATTTCACTCACCACACATCAATTTTTGGGCGCATGCATGCCATTAAATGTAGTCAGTTTGTCACTGTAGCTCTTTTCAGCTAGCGTATGATGTCCGTGATTATAAAATTTGCAATCTAACACCCGAAAATGGCATTCTGCCACCGTAACCGAAAATATATGGTAGTGCATCAGATATTCTGATTCAACTAGGTCGAGCTCTCCTGGTCCAGAAATATAAAATATTCTTAAAAATTCTATAATCTTAGTTATACAGATATGCCACTTTACCCTTAATCTCTTATAATTTGAACAATTTCCAAATGATTTCACAGCTTATTTTAGGATACATGGAGCAAACAGTTGCACATCTTAAATGTCATGAAAAGAAAATTGATCAAAAGGGAGTAAAAGTTAAGTTTTAGAAATGCATCGTTTAGAAAAATAATAAAATAGCACAGATTTTATGATGGAACCGAGCCAAAGGTCATTTGATTCTATAGGAAAAGCTCACACACCACCACCAGCAAGTGCAGGCTAGCGGTAGGCCGGTAGCAAACGCAGCGTCCACACTCCACATGCAAAAGTTTGACCAAAGTCTCCAAACACACACATGGTACCCAGTCGGCTCGGCTGCCAGAGCCGAAGAGCGGATCCCGTAGCTCGAGCCACCTGCGGCATAAAAAAACTACTAGCACTGTTATTTGAATTTGAACTCTGACATTTAACGCCCCCGGCTATTTGGTAGCCGCTGTAAATCTGCAGCCAATCGAACCGGCGGGCGAACCGCAAAATTCACCTGGGAAACGAGCGCGCGGTAACATAAATTGGACTAGCACGGCACGCGACGCGACGCGCGCACAGCCGAGCCGAGCCAGAGGCACTCCCGGCCCCGATTGCCAGCCAGCTAAAGCGCGTAGCGTAGGGCCTACTAGCCGGAGTAGTAGGCGGCCGCCGAGCCAGGACGGACGGGGCCGGCCGACAGCAGCGCACGCCTCGGGATGCGAGGCGGCGGCGGGGGCCGCGCGGCCCCCAAGGAACCCAACTGCGGGGACCGCGGCAACGGGGAAGCCGACGCGACGAGGCCGCCTTCCGGCCTCCACTCTTCCGGCCTCCTCTCCTCTCCCAGTCCCGGACGTGTCTCCACTCACCGCGCTCCAGTCCACCACGCTGACGGGCGCTGCTGGCCCCGACACCGTGGGCCGCCCCCGGCCTGTGGTGCGCGGGGCACAGCAACATGCATGCATCGCCCCGGCACGCTGCTGCTGCCTGCTTCTGTCGTAACACCAGTACTACTACTACTACTGCTCTGTCTTTCTCTCTAGTACTAGTAGCGATCTAATCACGGGGGTTGGGGTTGGGGTTGGGGTCGGGGTGCGCAACTTTTCCTTGCCTTCTTATTCACATCTCTCGCCAACGGCCGGCACCACCAGTGCTACCACATCCATCCACCCATCCTCTCTTCTCCCTCACCTCGCTTCTTCTACCTCCTTCCAACCTCTATTATCTTCGTTCTTCCTCCAGTTTGTTTGCTGCACATCGTCGCCCGGTGTATCGTGATCTGACAGTATCCTTGCTACCTTTCAATTCGTCGACGACAAGGCACCAGCAGAAAGAAGGCCAGTTATAGAGTATGATCAGGGTAATGAAGTAGTAGCTATATACCAGCTGTGTATAGTTTTGGTGTGTGTATGTCTATCTAGCTAGGTTTTGCGTGTGGCTCGTTGATCTGTTGTTGGCAGAACACACATCTCGATCGAGCTAGTGATCGACCGATGATGGCCGGGGCACCGCCGATGCACATCTGCATGGATTCGGACTGGCTCAAGGTACGTACCGTGATCCTTCTTCGTGTGCATATATAAAGCCATAAATACCACATGATCTGATCGATGATTTTCATATATACATGAGCCTTTGCCGTCTCTCACCTTAGTACAATTTCTTGCGACCTGCAGGTTTACTTCTTTTTGCCATAGAACATTATTTCTTGTTCTATATTATTTTCTGCTTTTTGAAGATTTCATATAAGGTTTATAGATATTAATTAATTGGCTAGTTATCAGGTGTGTTATATTTTCTGGTTCTTTTACTTAATTCATGCAAGTCTACCTCCCAATTGATCCTTTTTGTTTGGAGAACTATAGAAAGGTTATAAGTTGAGGATCTATGAGTACGCAGCTCACTGTTCTCTTTGTTGATCTCTGCGCTATGTCTCCTTGTTTGTTATTTTTTGGTCATTAAAGTACTTAGTATATGTCTCTACCCTCTACGATGGTTCTTTAGTATAGGTTTAATATGATCAAAGGTTACAGTGAGATCGTTGGCCTGCTATATATTTATATAGCCTTGATGAAACTATTATGATCAGAGATCACAAAATTATATGGCAGCATGCATTTCTTTCACTAGCTTGCTGTAGTTTCAATATATAGATAGATCTACGAAACAGAGAGAAACTAACAGAGAGAAACTAAATGAAACTCTAGAAGGAGTAGTCACAAAAGATGTCGCAAAACACAGAGTAAACAGCCACACAAACAGTAGAAAGTTCAATGCACACTGTCAGATTCTTACCCATATATTGCAAGCAAAAGCAACAAGAGATAAAAAGAGATTTGAACAAGTACGGTTTGATCGTCTGATCTACCTGGCTTTAACTTTAGAACACTACTGCAAAAGCCGTGGATATAGATCTCCTCAAGACTATCAATATGGGAAAAGAACAACGCGAATAAGTAGACTTGTTATTTTTTTCGTGACCGTGCCAAGGCACATTTTTCATTAAGAAGAAGTAGAGACTTGTTGTTATTAATTACCATAATTTTAGGGATATATATAACCGCACGGTGAGAACATTCTTCACATATTCGTACTATACATGATGACTGACATCGAAGGACACAAGAATTTATGTGATCCCAGGTTCTATCTAGTATGAGATCATTGCAAATGCATGCATATGGGACATTATATGCTTATAAGAAATCAAGACAAGTACACCTTGCATGACCCTCATGATATCTATGTTCGTAACTTTAACATGTGTTCAAAAGCGTAACTATGCGCAACGGAGATCATATGGGGCCGGGGCAACAAACTGATCAATGTGTTTCCAAAAGCTATGGATACACCATAGGATCAAGCTGATCAGAGATCTGAAAACTTTGATCTACTTGATGCATCCATCATGAAACATCATAATATATAACCTTTGGAGCTTTGCATGCAGTTCGTACTTTAGCCTACTGTATAGATATATGCATATATATGCACCCCTTTCCCGCATTCCGAGGCTTCCATTTTGTCACGGCTAATGATTTGCGATCACACTGCGATAACGTGGTCTTGTGCTTTTCAGGGCATCGTCCCCGAGGAGCCTGGGATGGGATCGTCGTCACCGTCAGCGGAGCTGATCGCATGCCCTAGGCCGATGCACGCCGTGGCGGCGGCCGCGGCGGACCGGCGTCTGCGCCCGCAGCACGATCAGCCGCTCAAGTGCCCGCGGTGCGAGTCCACGCACACCAAGTTCTGCTACTACAACAACTACAGCCTCTCGCAGCCGCGCTACTTCTGCAAGACGTGCCGCCGCTACTGGACCAAAGGCGGCTCGCTCCGCAACGTCCCTGTTGGCGGGGGATGCCGCAAGAACAAGCGCGCCAGCGCCAAGAAGCCCCCCGCGCCGCCGATGCAGCAGGCGCGGCACATGGCGGAGACGGGCCTCCACCTGTCCTTCTCCGGCATGCCGCAGCTGCCGCCTCCGTCGGCCTCCGCGGCCGACCAGCTTTGCAGCCTCGGCCTACTGGACTGGAAGTACGACCCGATCCTCGCGGGTTCCGGTGGCGCTGCAGGCTCGTTGGACGGCCCAAGCTCTGAGGCGCACTTCGCAGGGGCGGGCATGCTGGGCATCCCAGGTGGCGGTGGAGGCGGCGGCGAGTGCCACGCGCTGAGCGCGCTCCGGTACGCGGCCGGCCTGGGCGAGCACCTGCAACTGCAGGGGCTCCCGTTCGGGGCCCGTGCGGAGCACGACGCGATGGAGGTGAAGCCAGCGGCGACGGAGAGGCTGCTATCGCTGGACTGGTACAGCGAGACGAGCCGCGCGCCAGAGAGCGCCATCAGCTCGCTGGGCGCGCTGGGCCTGTGGAGCGGCATGCTCGGCGGCGCGCACCAGCACCACGGCTCCTCGGCGGCCATCTAAGATCCTGGCAGAAACGTGCCTCTTCCATGCTTGCGTTGCATGCACCGTGCACTGCATCAGTGGTTTGCTAATGGAGTTAACGAGTGACTGCTTGCTTTCTTGTTGCCTTTACCTGTTTTTATCTTCTGTTTCGTTTCGTCGTTTTGTTTTTTGGACGATCCATGCTTGCCGCTCGTCATTTCGGATGATGTCTCTGTTGTTGTTGTACCACTTCAAAGTTCAAACATTTGCTGTGGTTCGAATTACAATTTGCTTGTGGTTGATGAGCTCGATCAGGTTTTATCTGTATGGAATTAGGAACCATGTATATATAGAACTTAGAGCTTGGTACAATTATTTTGCTGATAATTTACATTATGGTGATCCAAAACATTTACAACAAAACTGATTTCACTGCACACAATAAAACAACCTAGCTAGTCATTTGCGAAAAAAATGTGACTTGCGAAAAAAATGTGACTAGCTAGGTTGGTTTTCGAATTTCGTTTATGGTTGCTTTTTAATTATATTTTTCTCCTTGGTTGCTTTTCTATTATTTTTTCTCCTTTTCTCTTACGAAAATACAAGAAGCCACACCTATACACCAGAATTTACTGTGACATTCGACACAGTCTCAAGTTAGCCATAGGAGTGGTATAACAAAAACACTGCTAACTTAAGTTTGCCATAGCATTGCTAAAGCTCACACATGTAACCGACCACTAGTGGAGCACACCTCCTAAATAAACTACATGTGTCTGAGATTTTCAAATATCTTAGGCGACTTGCTCCTCACACCGGCTTCGATCAGGGATGAGGGTTAGTGTGGATTTCCATGAGCTTAAACAAAATCTAGGGAGGTAGCGAAGAGAGGCGAAGGTGGGGGTGAGGGGTGAAGCAGCGAGCTTCTGTCGACCATTGATGGTGGAAGATGGCGGTTGGACCAGGTACGGGAGGGGGACCTCAAGCTACATTAGTTTGCGCGGTGGGGGCAGTGTCAGTGACCCAGCGGCAGCGCCATTGAGGAAGGTAGGCGGGGCAGTTTACGCTGTAGCGTGTCGCAACTGACCCAAGAAAGAGGATGACCAATGGAAGATGATGACAAATAATACATCCGATCGAAATTTGACACGCCTATCGTGCATCACCGAAGAAGAACGAAGATTTAAAACGCATGTTAAGTAGCAGTTTGGAGACTTTTTCGTTGCAAAGGGAAAGAGATTATATTAATCTAATAGGTACAGTTACATCACTGTTTACATCCAAACCTTTGGAAAATACTAAATATACACTAGGGCCTTGTTTAGATTGGGTTATGAATCGAAGATTTAGGAAAGATATTATAATTATTCTCCAATAGTACAGTTACATCACTGTTTTACAATCAAACAAACCTTTTTATCTAAATATTTAATATTCACATATCCAAAGATTTGATGTGATGGAAAGGGAGTGAAAAAACTTGCAATCTAAACAAGGCCTAGAGTACATCTAGATCTCCCTGACAACACTCTTCATTTCCAATCTATGACATCGACGATTGCCTAGTTTCAATCTGTCGAAACTTAACAATGCTAACGACCGCCATTGGAGTATCACCCTCCAATAATCATCCACAACGACAAGCTCCAAACCTTGGAAATACTGCTTGACCCAGTGCCACACAAGAGCTTCTCAGGACGCATATGATACGTAGAGGCCACCTTGTTGTCAAAGTTAATCAAGAGACCATCAATCTGGCACCACCGGTACTGGAAGTCGGGATAACTTTCTGGATATCATGAGATTAGAACCTAATGAGCCTACGGTAACATAAAGATGCAAATGCGAAACACAAACATCATATCTTCACCAATTGTATACAACGTGATGGATGTCTAGATAGGCATTTGCATCGAAATTCTCTACATGAATCGACAAAGACGATGCCATCCAGTAGCCCACGGAACACCATAATTTATTTAATCTAAATCCTAACTAAGATTGGACTGGACAACGGAAAGCTCCTCCTTAATCGCGGCGAGCTTAGGGCAGTGGATAAAAGGAGAGGCGGTGGTGGATATCTATCTTTTTTTCTAGAGACATTATTACAAGAGTACGTTTATTAATGTGTCGAGTCAAAAATCACTAATCCAGACGACTTTGGTATCCATGTGATTCGATAGGACATAAATTGAACAAATTACTGTTCGGCTAGTATTAAAGTCGACTGAAGCTGTTTTATCGTGAGAAAAAAATACTGTAGATTCTAGCTAATAAGCCGACTGATAAATTCAAACGAACATGCGTGACTGGCAAGCTGCGTCGAACAGTCGAAGAGTAGTTTGCAGATGGTGCAGCCAGTGTTGTCCCATTCGTGGAAAGCGCGTGATGCACGCAGTGTTCTTCCAAAGGCCTGTTGGTTGTTGAACATTCTGCGCAGTACATTTTCTTAACTTCAGTCACATCCAGGCCCTGCTTTATTAAGAATGAAAAGTCCAGCTGGCAGCTCAGTGCAACGTTTCCGCCAAACCATTTATGGTGCGTTTAGTTTGCGATTTTTTTTTGAGTTTGGCTACTGTAGCATTTTCGTTTGTATTTGGCAATTAGTGTCTAATTATGAACTAATTAGGTTCGAAAGTTTCGTCTCGCGATTTCTCACCCAGCTGTGTAATTAGTTTTTTTTCGTCTATATTTAGTACTCCATGCATGAGCCACAAAATTCGATGTGACACTTTACAGTGAAAATTTTTTAGAACTAAACAGGGCCTTACAAAAAAAATCGAGTCTGGGTCGACGCACCCCGTTTATAATAATTCTTCGAAAGTTCGAAAACCCGTGGCCGTGGGGCACGACCTTCTTTTTTCTACACTCGTATTTACGAGTACCTTATTTCAAAATTTCCACCCCAATTCAATTGAACATAAGTGAAATGTGGTAGATACGAATGTAACCAAAAGTAAATAAAATTCTAAAAAGAAAGTATGAACATAGATTAACAAACTACAGATTCTTCAACGAGGATTTGATAAAAATGTAAGTTAGCCAATGCCGTTTAACACCAACTGGATTTGATTAAAACGTTAGCGGATCTCCTACGACAACACTAGTCTCTTGGAAGTTGGAACCAGGAGGTATCTACAAAGAGAGTTTTACCTGTGTACTATTAAAAAAGATGACCCTTACCTACAGATACAGATAGGACTGGACATCGAACTAGTTCGGCTCGTTTTGGATTGGCTCGTTATAGCTCGGCTCATTAACGAGCTCGAGCTAGCTCGTTTGGCTCGCGAGCCAAAGCACAGAAAATACAATATTGAGCAAACACATCACTTGCAAGAATGAAATAAACAATGTACACATAAATTTGACGATGGAGAATATAATCCATTGATTGATCCACTAACGAACAATTCCATTCATCCATACATAGCTTACAGCATCATCCATTGAACAATTCCATTCATCCATACAGTTTTCTAGATTGGAGCAAAATAGATGTGCTCCATACTCAACCGCGTAGTGGACTTCGTGGCTGCGGACCCTAAACCTCGACCGCGGCCACCTCGATTGCCTGACGAGTGTGGTGTGGAGTGCGGACTGCGGACTGCGGACTGCGCCTCCGCGGCTCAGGAGGGGAAAGGGAAACGGCGGCTCGGGAGGTGGAAGTGGAGTCGACTGGTGGGACTGGTGGTGACCTGGTGTATATTTGTTAGGGTTTCATCCATATTGGGCTAGGCCGAGAGATATATTGCTATATGGACCGATTTCAGTTGCTCTGATGTGAAATATAACTTGGCTCATTATGACTTGCGAGCTGGCTCGAGCTAGCTCATTAATTAACCGAGCTGGCTTGTTAATTAAAAATTTAAACAAGTCAAGCTCGAGCCGAGCCATTAACGAGCGAGTCGAGCGAGCTAGCGAGTTACAAGTTTTTTGTCCAGGCCTACCTACAGGCCACCAAAAAATTCGGACGCACCTAAATGCCATTCACCTAAGCTTTTTTTTTTCTCCCAAGCAACTGAGCAAATATTGAACATTCATAGCCAGTACATGTAACATTTCCTTGCATAAACATGAAACATCTGGTAATGACCACTATCCTCAGGAAGGCTAATGAAATCAGCTCTTGAGATTATTTTCATGCAACCATTCCTAAATGTGGTCCGACAACCGAGCTTAAACCATGGATATTGACCTTCTGACCAATGGATTCAAACTTGCCAAGAGCCTTTTAGTAAGAGCTCACTCGAGATACCTGAGGATCAAAACTCACAAAACAAGTTACCGATATCAATCAGTTAGGAAAGGATGATACTGTCCAAGCTGAAGGGTTTCCACATTGACAACATCAGAAAGCCCACATGACTCTGATACGATTAGCATTAAGTAACCGGAAGCTCACTTTATTATAGATGTATATAGCGGACTCATTGTATTTGACTAGGTCTTGTCACGTCTTGTAACATAAGCCTACTTGGCTATATATACGAAAGGTAATACCCCCTGCCCCCTCAAGGGTGTGAGGTGTCTGTACACATTTTCTTATCCGTCTTCTGCCACTAGTGGCTGAACCCACGATAACATTACATATCTACCAAACAAGAAACAGACTTTCCGTTGCCTGGATATCATCAGCTGAAACTGTCAATGCGTAAATGCACAAGTAATGCACCTTAAACAAGGACTTTAGGTTCCAGGATAGTTATCCACCCTATCACCAAACTCGTAAAAACACACATCTGCATATGCTATGAAGTAGCCAAATTTTGCGACCATGCTAACACTATGATAACTGAAAGCCTGCCAAGGAAGTATAAGGTATCATCATACTACTACCAGGAGCAAGACAGACGTAGCAACCAACAACAAACAGATGCCACGGTAAGAGGAACAAGGATTGATTATTGTTGTATTTTCTATTCTTACTTTTATCCATTAACTAGAAGGGCAGGCCTGGTGCACTGGTGAGAGCTGTCTCACTGAGTCACCAGGTCGTGGGTTCGAAGCAGCCTCTCCGTAGATTTTGCGGGGGAAAGGCTTGTCTCGGTTTATCCCTTCCCCAGACCCCACTCATGTGGGAGTCTCCGGCACTAGGTCTGCCCTTTTACTTTTATCCATTAACTCATCGCATGATCAAACAATCCATAGGTACACATTACAGGAGCTAAACTGTGCTAACAACAATGGATGACTAGTTGATGGCTCATCTAGAAATTGCACAAAAAAAAAGACCAAGAAAGTGTAGCACTGAGGGGAAGTACTGTAGCCATCTACAGCTGTGTCTCACATGGATTATGATGTGGGGGAGAGGGCTGTGCTCTAGGGCTCTCGTAGATGGTGCTCGTCATGGCAGCGGTTTGATGTGGCCAGAGCCGAATAGGCAGGCCAAAGGGCGAGGCCGTGAGGGGCAGGCCAGCCAGATCACCGCAAAGCAGTGAAAGCGTGTAATAAATCCTGGGGCAGCTCTATATTTTTATTTTATCAAGTAGCTTAGAACAGAGGGAGATCACTAAGTCTGGAGCAGTTGACGACGACGATGGCAGCCGGATGGATAGGATCGGGCGTCTAAACGGTGGCGCTGCCCCTGGCAGAGATCGATCTCTCCCTAGGGGAGCGCGGTTGCAGAAGCTGGCGGCGGCTAGGGTTAGGATCTAAACCTAGACTCGTGATACCATGACAGAGAATATAATTGTTGTAATTGGATGGATGTATTGCATTGAGCCCTTGGGCGATTTATATAGAGTACAAGACTTGGGAGGCAAGGCAACCCACGGATACATATGGAAGTCTACGATACACAATATCTAGACTAGCAAATATACTCTAACAGATTCCAATCCCATGCTAGAGCAGGGATCTCCCCAACCTGTTCTGTTTGTAGCACAGCAGAATCGCAACTGAAAGTGTGTGTGGAGCAACAGAAAGTTAACTTCAGAAATGCCATTACTTGAAAGATACTCCTGCTAACCAGCTATCCAATTTCAGAGGGTTTATCAGAGTAAGATACTGTTGAATGGGACAGCAGACAAGTACTTAACATGTGAAAGTGTGTGTGGAGCAGCTATGCTAACTGAACCACTAATTGTTTGCCAATCTGGACTCTAATCGTTTGTGCATTGCCAAGCTGAAAGCAGTGCTGAGTTTGGATTCATGGGTTTCTTGGTTCCTATTTTTTACTGCTGAAAAAATGTGTAACTGGAACACCTCCTGTTTCTCATCAGTGAACTATGCGAACTGGAGAAGAACTAACAATACAGTTCTATCATGACAGTTGTCTATGCATGGCTCTGGTACAATATTCAGGAGAAATTGGTGACATTTCCAGCTGTCTATGTTATTGATCGGTTGAAAAATAAATAGTTACTTGTACATATGTAAGGGACAATAATTCATCATTATACAAGAGTACCCACACTTACCGCTAAGGAAGATATACCTAGGAAAATACACACCACTAAGGAAAATACAAAATGCATATGTATACATCTAGGTCTAGCAGAATCAGAATGAGAATGACAAATTAAACCCGTGTCAAGTTCATTGTTTTGAGCAGTAAAATGTGCTCAGTGTTCATGTGTAATTGAGTACTAAACAACATGCTATAGATCGACACCTGAAACAGCTTGGTAAACAGAACAAAGCAAAGAAATTTAATGCCAATAGGAAGGGGGTCAGAACTGTTTAATAAACTTAACAAAGCAAGCTAACTGAAAGGTGGCTTTCCTTCAGAGTTGAGAACTGAGACCAAACAGTACTAGCTGCAGTTGAAAGGTTCCATGCATACAGTATAGCTAGCCCTTTGTGATGCTTTTACTAATAAGACTAATCAAGCTTCTGAGATGATCAGAACACATATGGGAAAAGATTTCTGCAATTGAGTTATTGATTCATTTCTGCTGATGCATATGAGAATCTGTTACTTCATTGACAGATCAAGCAAGGATCATGTTAGTGACTAACCTGCTATCATGCATGGCAATGTGCAGTACACTACAGAAACACATGCCCTTAGTTTTGCTCTGATCCTCGAGGCTCTGATCTGTCGACACGTGCACATTTTTCAGAGTTCTTACCCGGAGAAACAGAGTTGCACACCAACTAGAAATAATGATTCATACATGCTACCAGTCCTTAATGAAACCAACCTAGTGCAGGTGCTTCAGATAAAATATTTCAGATATTCACTAAACGTGCTTAAAGTAGCCTATTAGAAGAAAGTCGTGTTCCCCACACAAGTTACAATCTGCTAATAGCTGAGAGCATTACCACAATAAAAACTCATTGACAGCTTGCTAACCTGCTTTCATACAGACATGACTAACCCAAACTGAAATCAAGAATAATCCAACCAGACATGACATCACATCATTGTTGGATGACTCCAAGCAAAATACTACTTCAAAAAGAAGTAGAGAGATTTTTATTTCAGTTTGCTTTCTTGAGGGTTCCCTGACTATGGTGAAGGTGGGATCCACTTCAAACAAAACTGGTAAAATCCACCAAGAAATCTAGAAACGAAAACCTACCATCTCTCTTACATAAAAAAACTAGCATCTCTACTAATCCACTAATTGGAACCAACCAAGCATCTAGAAAGAAAAACAAAGCATGTTTTTGGATCTTCAGGGTCTCAGGGAAGGGGAGGGTGGAAGGAGACACCTTTTGGATATGTACGGTGGTGATTCCAGCGGTTGCGGTCATCGCAGGCGCCTGCGGCTGCGTGGGCATTGGCTGCTGCATCTCTTCCCCTCGGCCATGAGGAGGCAGTAAGGAGTGAACGTGTGGGGAGCTCGCAAGTGAGGCGGCGGGGAGCTAATGCCACCACTCACAAGCGGGGTGACCCTAGGGTCAATTGGGGTCAACACGGTTCTGACCCTTTGGACCCTCTTCCTGTTGGGGTCGGTCCGCTCCGAACCATGGACTCAATCTAGGAGTGGAGCGTGTTTGGGAACGAGTTGACCCACCCCCCTGGCAGGCCTAAATATCTGGAGCACTTTATATGTGCCGCTATGAATGACACCGCCTGCATGAAAAGATTTGAATTATGCTACCACGGCTTGTATATGCAATATATCGGTGACCCAAATACATCACTGTATGTTCTGCAGGTTGAAGCCAACTAGATTCCTGTTAGTGTCCAGACCACAATTATTTGTGACTAGTAGTAACAGTTCCACAAAGCACTAGCATTCTAGAGTGCCAACTTTGTTCAAGTGCTGTGAAGTCCATTCGAGTGTTGAGGGTAAACAACTCTTACCATTTTGTGAATAAAAGAATAAGCAAAGTCCAGTTTTGGTGCAAACATGCACCAGTAGGTAGATAATACTATACTAGGCTGACCAAACACCTAAATTTTCTTAACCTGTTATAACTAGTAGATGAAGGTGAAAAGGCCAGTTCATAAGTTCATTTCATATCCCGTTTATCTAAAAGAAGATTACAACTACCAAAAAAGGGTTTCATTAAGCATATCACAAAAAGATAATTTTTCTCGTATAGGTAGCTTTGCTTTGCAATAGTAGCGCTGATGTACTCTACACACTTTCATATACTAAGTCATGAAATTTAAGACCACATTTGACAACACAGATATAATGTAATCACAGAAAATTGGTAGCAGATTCAATACCTGCTCATTGCATGCGATATATTGGACATAGTAGGGACAAAAGACAGGCACTAGTTTGCAGTACCTATGGGCATATTTCCCTACACACAATACAAGAAGGACATTCATCAGCATTCCATTGGGAAGGCAATGTTAGCTATTGAAAGTTGCACTCATTAGAATGTAGAAGATGCCGGTAACTTTAACATGAATGTTTAGCAAAATTTGGAGGCTTGGAGCTTTTCTGTTCCCTAAAAACTAGTAATTTATGCAGAGAATCATCAATGAAGATTCCAGACACCATCCAATTGCTTATAATAAGAACTGTTCAAATACTTTAATAAGCTACCTGCCTACAGGCTACAAAATCTGCAGGTTGTAGAACTTTGAAATGCCCAAACCTTCTTTAGGAACAAAACTACGGGATATGGCATGCTCCAATCTATCTAGTATCTACTGATCTTTAACTCAAAATATAACTGTCAACCTGTCAACATATAAAATCTTAAAATTAGTGCAAATTTGTATGATGAATTTCCACCTTTGAAAATTCCATTTTCTTCCACCAGGTTTCTTCCAGAAGTTCACCAACAGTTGAGGTACATCAAGTATCAATTTCAACTCAAAGAAGAGCAGTCAGCAGAATCCACGAATGCAAAGCTAGTGTCTACTTGAAAGGAGCAGTCCTCGCCTCTCAACTTTCGTGACAGATCACAGAGCAATGTACAGATACTATCCCAATCTTGGTGAGTCCTCTCCCCAGCAATGAACGTGTGCACTAAGTTACTGACCTCAACTGAACTGTAACCTGGCACTTTACGCAGATCTCTACCCCTCACCATGTCCCTTGTGTCCTTTACACTCTCCCAGTGCTCATCAAATGCATATATATTTGTCAAGAGATTGTAGTAGCCAACATGGTCAGGATCCAGCTTGAGCAGACTCTTTGCTGCTACTTTGCTTATCTTAGTGTTGTTGTGTTCTCTGCATGCAGCAAGCAAAGCACACCAAGTATGGGCAACAGCTCTTCCATCCATATCACGAATGACCCTTATAGCCTCTTGCAGTTCACCCGCCCGACCAAGGAGATCAACCATGGCACTTTGATGCTCGGCATTTGGCACGACTCCAAAAACTCGAGTCATGCTATCAAAAATTTGTATTCCTTCCTGAACCAGGCCAGAGTGGCTGCATGCTGATAACACTGACACAAACGTCACACTGTTGGGTTGAATTGATGAGGCAATCATCCTTTGGTACAACACAACAGCTTCCTGACCAAGGCCATGGGCTCCATAACCAGCAATCATTGAGCCCCACACCACAACATCTTTTTCTGTAGTACCTTCAAATACCCTGACAGCGCTATCTAAGTCTCCACATTTTGAATACAAATCAAGAAGTGCAGCAGCTACAAATGCATTATTATTGAAACCATTTCTAACTAAATAGCCATGGAGACAAATGGCTAGGCGAGTACCACCAAATTCTGAGCATGCAGCAAGTACCTTCACCATCATGACGGCATCAGGAACATGATCATCCAACAGCATGCATTTGAACACATGGAGGGATTCACCAGGGAGTTCATTTTGTGTGAGGCCACCAATGACAGCAGCCCAAGCGACCACATCTTTCTTTGGCATCCGGTGAAATAAGCGCATTGCTTCCTCATGACATGAGCACTTCATGTACATATCAACCAGAGCAGTCGCTACACCCACCTCAAGCTCACAATCTATGCTGACAGCAACACGGTGAACTCTCTTACCTTCCTCAGCATCGACAACAAGAGCACAAGCCTGCAGAACACTCACTAAAGTCACTGAATTGGGCTGGACACGTGCCTTAACCATCTCCCTGTACGTTCTCAACCCTTCGTGTGCATCTCCATGTTGCACATACCCTTTGATCATGCAGCTCCAAGTGATCACATCCCTATCCGTCATACCCTCAAACAACCTCATAGATGCCTGGCAATCACCGATCTTCACATAAAAGCCAAGAACAGCATTTACTAAAGCTAGATCATAGCCCAAGCTGTTCCTGACAACATAGGCATGGCACGCCTGTCCCTTCCGGACATGCCCCAACTGTGCTGCTGCCGACACCACACTCACAAGTGTGACTGGTGTCAGCATAGCGCCCTGACCAACCACATTTCTTGCAAAGAACTCCAGTGCTTCCTCGGCCATTCCGTTCTGCTCGTAGCTGGTTACCACAGACGTCCTAAGCACAATGTCCGGCTTCTCAAGCATGCCATACGCATTGATGGCCCCAACCATGTCTCCACACCTGGCGTACATCTGCACGATCGCTGTGGCGACAAAGGCGTCTTCAGACGCGGTGCAAGAGCGTACGGCGACCGCGTGCACAGCGCGGCCGTGGGCGAGCGAGGGGAGCGCAGCGCAGGCCCTCAGCAGGAGCGAGAAGGTGAAGCCGTCCAGGCGCACTCGGAGCCGCGGACCAAGGAGGATAGCGGCGCGCCACTGCCGCGCGCGGATGTGGGCGCGGAGGAGCGCATTAGCGAGGCGCGGCGTCGGACTGGGGATTTCGTCGAACAGGTCGCGGGCGAGGCCCGGAGGGTACCACGCGAGGACATGCGCGGTGAAGTGGTGCGAAGAGTGGAGGAGGCCCGAGCGGAGAAGGTTAGCGTGGAGATGCGCGGCGGCGAGAGGGGTAGAGGTGGCGGCGGCGGCTTCTAGAAGCTTTTGGAGCGGTCGCATGAATGCGAGGGCAGGAAAACACCCAACGTCGGCCAGTTGCCGACGCTGGTTATCGGTTGTACACTGTGGTGTCGGAGCTGCTGCCCGCTTCGTGACACCGTCGGAGCCGCCGCCCGCCTTGCCGCGAGAGTCACCGGAGCCGTCGCCCGCCTTGCCACGAGGGACGCCGGAGCCGTCTCCCTCGCTTCGTCGCACAGGCCGTCCGCGGCGCAGCGAACCGCCCGTCGCCAAGCTCGAGCAGTAGCAGCTCGGGGCCGTCGGCCGCCTGACTCTCATAGGGCTGCGCTGCCACCTGCCAGCCGTCCGCTCGGCCGGCCGTAGCTGCCTCGCCGCTCGCCCCGTGCGTCACCACCACCTACCGCACGGTACGCGAGGTCACCGCGTGCATGTTTGGACAACTAGATGCATATACAACCATGACAATGAATGGCCTAACAATTAGTTAAGGACTTTGACTACTTTTTTTTCTCTCTTATCGCTTGTCTTACTGTCACTACTTTTTCCGCGAAGGAACTATATTTTTCTCTCATAATAAAGCAGCGAACAGCAGTTTCCAGCTTGCTTTTCTATTTGATCACCTAGTACTGACTTTTAGACTTTATGGCTAAATTGGTTTGCTTCCAAAGTTGCCATGCCAAAGATTTAGCAAGTCTCCGCCTTCGCTCATTTTTCGCGTCCGCTAATGACAACATTTGCAACATGAAGCATTTACTGCGACATACGTCTGAAAATCGGTGAAACATTTGGAAAATAAGTTTGCAACATATGTGTATAGTCACTGCAACATATGATAAAATACTCACAACATACGTCTGAAACATTTGAAACATACACTTGCAACATACATATATAGTCATTGCAACATATGCAATATCAAATCTACTTTTACAATATCCTGATGAAACGCGTTGCAACGTACATCTGAAACAGTTGAAATAAACATTTGCAACATATATGTATAGCCATTGCAACTTATGCAACACAAGATCTACTTTTGTAACATCCGGATGAAGCACGTGCAGCATCCATATGAAACATACATCTGAACACATGAAACATACAGAGGTCGATACCGTCGCGGAGCTCGATGCCACAAAGTGGCGCGGAGGTCGCCAGTGCGAAGCTCATTGGTGGCACGGACCTCGGAAGTAGCTTCGGTAGGCGGATGGAGACGCGGTGGAGGCGTTGAATCCGCACGGATAGGGCACGCGGCGCGAGCGGGGGAGGAGGGGCGGCACACGATATAGGCGGGCGGGACGGGCGGCGCGAGCAGTGCAAACCATCACCCCGGGCCATGGCATCGGAGACGCTGCTGAAAGCTCTAGTTTGATTTTGGTGAATTGATGAAACCCTAAGTGCTAACCTAGTTTATCAAAGTGTTTATGAGATAGGTAGCACTACTCCAAGTGGTGAAGCAAATGAAGATCATGATATGATGATGATGATGCTATGGTGATGATCAAGTGCTTGGACTTAAAAAGAAGAAAGAGAAAAATAAAATGCTCAAGGTAAAGGTATAAGTGGTAGGAGCCATTTTGTTTCAGAGATCAAGACACTTAGCGAGTGTGATCATATTTAGGTTCGATAGCCGTATTATTAAGAGGAGCGAAACTCATATCAAAATACGGTTATCAAAGTGCCACTAGATGCTCTAACTTATTGCATATGTATTTAGGATCTAGTAGAGTGCTAACACCCTTGAAAATATTTGTGAAAATATGCTGACACACATGCACAAAGGTGATACACATTGTGTTTAGCACTTGGTAGCAAGGGTTCGAAACTTCACCGGCGGAGTGTCCTCCCGTAGAGTGCGGACAGTCCGATGGTGTCATCGGTGCCCTGTACAGAAAAGACAGGGCTTCACAGAGTGCACCGAACGCTGGTCACACAGTGACTAGACTCTGACCCTGCGTCCGGTCAATAGCAGCAGTGAGCGCGCGGTCTCGGTCTCGTGACCGGATGCTTAGGGCCTACGTCCGGTCAGTGCTGACGTACGCTGATATGGTAGCGTGAGGAACAGCAGCGACGCGTGGCAGTTGGAGAATGACCGGACTCAGGTGTTGCGTCCTGTCGGGGACCTAATACTGGAGTACCCCATGAGGTGGAGCTAATAACCATTAAACGCTGATGCTTCCGAACAGACAAAAACGCAGCTACGCTTCTTGCCCGAACGACTGAAGATTAGCTCTGCCTTGCCCGACGTCCCGGGCTGGCTCTGCCTTGCCCAACGTCTGAGGGCAGGCTCCGCTTCGCCCAATGTCCGAGGGCAGGGCTCCACCTCGCCCGACATTCCAAGCTGGCTCCGCCTCGCCCGATGTCTGAGGGTAGGGCTCCGCCTTGCCCGACGTTCTAGGCCGGCTCTGCCTCGCTCGACGTCTGAGGGCAGGCTCCACCTTACCAGACGTCTAGGGGTAGGCTCCACCTTGCCCGATGTCCAAGGGTAGGGCTCCGCCTCGCCCGATGTCTAGGGCTGGCTCCGCCTCACTCGACCCCTGAGGGTTGGACTCCGCCTCGCTCGACGTCCGAGGCCTAGCTCCGCCTCGCCCAACGTCTGCGCCCTGCTCCTTCATAATGACGAGCATAGGGTAAGACAGGACACTCGAGTCAACCGACAGTACCGAGGACCATATCTTGCACACCTGCGGGCGAGTACCGTCAGGATATGACAGGACGGGTGCTTTAAGCCCTTCCAAGCATGACAGAGCCCGGACAGTGTTGTAGGCGCTGACTTTGACCTTACAGTGTTGTGGGCGCCGCCATCAGCCCTCGAACATGGACCCTGACATAAGCATACGACAACCACTACAATCTAGGAGGGAACTCACATCATCTACAGTAATGGGCGTATGGTCACTTCCCCGTCTGCTCCCCGTTGGGTCATGGCTCGGCACCCTGGCACGCCGCACCATCCGCCAGAGTAGGATGGGACGTGATCACTTGCTGAACAAAGCCAGGGCACGGCCCTATCAGGATCGACGAATGTGCTATCTCTGGCATCATTTGCCATGTCAGCAGGGTAGGCTCAAGAGAAAAGGAAGACCCGACACCTTCGAAGAACCTACTCTACCTCTGTTTTTTTCCTCTTTCTCCCATCTGTAATCCGTGCTCCCCCTTTGTCTATAAAAGGGAGGGCAGGACACCCCACTACGGGGATGGATCGATTCAACACACATCACACACACAACCAAGCAGCAACCGAGCTCTTGGCATCCTTTCGACCTTTCCATCACAGACTTGGGACCTGTCCCTCTCTCGATCATTTGTACCCCTACTATGAACCTTTTTCAGTGCTAATAACATGAGCAGTAGCAAACTGGATGTAGGGACATTCTGCCCGAACCAGTATAAACCTTGTGTCCTTTAGTACACCATCCGGGCCTAACGTGCAACAAATATAAATTTACTAGGTGGTGTTTGTTTGAAACATCGACAGTTAGCGCACTAGGTAGGGGACCTTTGCGCGTTCCGACGATAAACATCAGGCCTCGGATGGTTAGCCACGACAACAGTTGGGTCCCAGACGCACATGTGCGTTTTGGGAGCCTAGACTTCATTATCACGGTGGAAGGAGAGTTGGCATTGGCTCACGCCGCCATCCAATCTCTCCCCTCCATTGGCCTCAACCACGAGAGGCTTGAGCGCCAGCTCGGTGGCTCCCTTGGACCCCAACAGTCTAGGGAGGTCCTACGCCGCCTCACCCTCTTCGACGCTAATGACACGGCGTGGTTTTCCGGAGGAGGGTCCCTCTCTCCGGAACACCACATACGGAGCGCCCCGATAGCGCTTCCGTTCGGTCTCCGCAACGCTGAGACGACTGTTAGCCACCTTATGGCGCGATGCATGGTTCTACCGCCCATGAACAATGAGTTCATGGGGGTAATTGAACATGTCACAGAATCTCTCCACAACCTCCTCATAGAGGAGCCGGGGTTGTCCTCTATCTCTGACTTCAGCAGGGGAGCAATCACCCCTCCTGGGAATGCTTCATGACGGGTACCCCCGAGGGACATGTCAAAAGCATCTCCAAAGAGGAGGCTACCCCGATGGGCAACCTCGGTGATGAAACCGATGGGGACATAGCGGCCCCACCTCGCATGGGGGTGGAGCAGCTGAAAGCCTGAAAGCGGAGAGATCGAGGAAGCTAGAATCTAGCTTGTGCAGGAGTGCACGGAGCTCAATCGAGAGATCAAACGCCATGGAGATGGTGGGCGCGCACGTGCCATGGCCCTCGATGTAAACCGGAGGATCATCGCCGATGATGAAGCCCTTCCTCGCTTCGCTCGGGTGAGCCAGAACATCGCTGCCGCGATGGCCATACTCCATGGCCTTCTAGAGGCCACGACGCCCGAGGATCATCAGGCCCACCGTGAGATTCACATGTTGCTCGAGCGTGCGGCAGCGCAGTAGGCAGAGAGCTTGTTGTCTCAGCGATACGAGCTCGACACCAGCCAGAGCATGCCCTCGGCGCCCCCTGCCAGGGATGCATCAGTCCACCAGGCACCACAGGGCGGTAGGTAGCGCGTCGTGGTCCCAGTGCATCAGCGTCTCGGTCGCAACCACGACGCACGCAGCACCCTCGATGCCCGTAGACGCACCTACGGTGACCCGAGAGAAGGAGCCCACCGTGGCTATCATCCTCGTCATGGCGGATGCTACGACAGCAGAGAGGACCGAAGGCCAAGCTCCGGCCTACCGGGCCCTCAGGCCTTCGGTCGACACATCCTCAACGCTACTTTCCCGCTAAGGTACCAACCACCTACCAATATCCCAAAATACTCTAGGGATACAAACCCCGGACTTTGGCTCGAAGACTATCGGCTTGCCTGCCAAGCCGGTGGTGCGGATAATGATGACTTCATTATCCACAACCTTCCACTGTTCTTAGTCGATTCAGCACGAGCGTGGTTGGAACACCTGCCGTCCAATGCGATCCAGAGTTGGGTGGATCTGAAGGAGATCTTTGTAGGGAATTTCCAGGGCACATACAAGCGCCCTGG